AACCGAAAAGTAGATGAAGGGAGACGTCAGACAGGGCAAGAAATGAAAAAATACCCATTTATAAACTATCAAGGGCTCATGCGGGAGGGGGGAGCGGGGAGGGAGGGGGACAGACAACAGAAAAGTGGGTGAAGGGAGACGTCAGACAGGGCAAGATATGACAAAATAATAATTTATAAATTATCAAGAGTTCATGAGAGAGGAGGAGCGGGGAGGGAGTGGGGAAAATGAGGAGCTGATGCCAGGGGCTTAAATGGAGGGCAAATGTTTTGAGAATGATGAGGGCAATGAATGTATAAATGTGCTTTACACAATTGATGTATGTATGGATTGTGATGAGTTGTATAAGCCCCTAGTAAAACTATTATAAAAAATTAACAAAATAAGCACAGCTTATAATTTGGTTCAAATAGGAAACAAACAAAACTGACAAGTTTCAAGTTTTGGTCTAGGAGACTCTAATAAGCATGTGCTACTTAATTTGGCTACTAATGAAAACATTTTCTTAACTTATGACAAGACATCCTGAGTGAACAAGCGACACAGTTTTCCTATCTTTGGAGTGGCAACTGTTAAACTACAAGTTTGGCTGCTAAGTGTTTGAATCACATGGGTTCTTTGCTGCTTCAAAGAATCTTATGTTTCTTTTTTTTTTTAGTCATTTTATTAGGGGCTCATACAACTCTTACTACAATCCAAACATACATCAAATGTGTAAAGCACATTTGTACATTCATTGCCTTCATCATTCTCAAAACATTTGCTCTCCACTTAAGCCCCTGGCATCAGCTCATTTTTTCTCCTCCCTCCCCGCTCTCCACTCCCGCTCATGAACTAAAGAATCTTATGCTTCGTGTATATATTATAGTTTGGGGAAGTAACATTCCTGAAGTGTTCCTTTCTTGACTTTACAGGTCTTTCTTAAAAGAGATAGTCGTAACACTTACTAAAGCGGGGGCCCCCATTATCTACCAAGTACTCAATGAAAAGTGTTGGATTACACAAATGCTGAAGACAAAGCGGGTACATAAGCAAATGCAGTGAAGAAAGCTAATGGTGCCAAGCTGTCAAATTACACAGAATCTGGGGTCCCACATGCTGGAAGATAAACAAGGGGCCATCTAACTGAGATACAACAAAGCCTACATGGAAGAAGCACGCCAGCCTGTAAGATGACAAGGCAGCGAAAGGGTCAGGAATCAAGCATCAAAGACCAAAAAAGAAAAAAAAAATCCTAACATTGTGAAAGACGGGGAGTGCAGAGTGGGCACCCAGAGCCCATCCGGGGGAAATTGGACATCCGCTTGCAGAACGGCTGCAGGGAGGTGAGGAGCAAATCGGAGTGCAGTGTAGTAACGATGAAATATGCAATTTTCCTCTAGTTCTTAAATGCTTCCTCTACTCCACTACCATGATCCCAATTCTACCTTACACATCTGGCTGGACCAGAGGAGGTGCACTGGCACAGATAGGAACTGGAAATACAGTGAACCCAGGACAGATGAACCCCCCAGGACCAGTGGAGAGAGTGGTGATGGCGGGAGGGTGGAGGGAAGGAGAGGGAGAAGAGGGAACAGAGGACAAGGTCTACATGTGGCCTCCTCCCTGGGGGACGGACAGCGGAGAAGTGGGTGAGGGAGACGTTGGATGGGGTAAGATATGATAAAATAATTATATATTATAAATTATCAGGAGGGAGGGGGGAGCGGGGAGGGAGGGGGAAAAATGAGCTGACATGAGGGGCTCAAGTGGAAAGTGGGTGTCGTAAGAATGATGAAGTCAACATATGTACTAAAGTGCTGGACACAGAAGATGTATGTACAGATTGTGATGAGTTGTATGAGCCCCTAATAAAATGATTATTTAATTTAAAAAAAAAGAAAAAGTGTTGGATTACACATATACTTGCATAGGTAGACACTAAGTCTGTAATGTTCATAACATTCTCAAAAGACTTTATGACCCCAAAAGGTTAACGAATCATTTAGCTGTAGAACATTGGGCAGTCTAGATCAAGTTCCTTAATCTATAATCTAGCTCAGGGGTCCTCAAACTACGGCCCGCGGGCCACATGTGGCCCGCCAATGACATTTATCTGGCCCACCAGGTGATTTTGCCCCGTTTGTTTTTTTTACTTCAAAATAAGAATAATGTGCAGTGTGCGTAGGAATTTGTTCATAATTTTGTTTTTAAAACTATAGTCCAGCCCTCCAATGGTCTGAGGGACAGTGAACTGGCCCCCTGTTTAAAAAGTTTGAGGACCTCTGATCTAGCTGGACTAGGAAAATTTCAAGGATTTGTCCCAGTCACTGAGCAAAATGCTTTGCAACTTTGAACCCTACTGTAAAATAATTGGTCTCACAAGACAATAGGTATAACTAAAAAAGGTAGGTATATAAAATGAATTTATGACTTTAGCCAGTCTATATTTATATAAAACTAAAAGTAGAAGATATGCATATTTCATACACAAAATCTACTATTGAAATCCTAATTATTACTACTATAGTTCCCAAGAATATAATGAACTTCATTTTCATCATCTTGAGTTAACAGGGGCAAAGATACAGAGGCTATTTTTCATAGGCTTTAGCACTTTTAAGGTGTACCCACATTACACCATTAGGCTATATTTTTACACAATGTTGTAGACACTAAACCTTTACATAATTTTGAACCTTCAAAATTATTATTTTGTGGGAATAAATTGTGCCTCTAGTAAATAACTCAATGAAGGCCTTGCATGATTTTTCCCCCTAAGCTTTATAATATTTTAGCCCCTGAAGACCTACCAAAGTGAACAATTTATATTAATTTGTTTTGCTATTATATGAAGATCCAGGCTAACACTGTCATAGAAACATCTCATCAAACATGTCTGTATCTCTGGAAAACACAACACATTGATCTTGACCTGATTGCTGAAAATACATCATGTATTTTCATCTTTAGTTAACCTAAGGGAAAAAAACACTTACCATGAAAATTGCTAAAAATTAAAATGCAAAGGATTCACATAAACTTGCCTTCTCATTTTAGTGCCTAATTTTATTACATAAATATACTGAACTCAGTGGCCCTGCAGCTGTGGGACACTCCCCAGTAAATATTTAAAGCTTATATGAGTATAAATACATTAAATATGATCTGTTTAAGGTCTCTGGAGGGGGGGCGGGCAAATGGTTTGTACTCAACTGCTAATCTAAAGGCTGGCAGTTGGGATCTAATCACCAGAATTATGGAAAAAGGGCCAAGTAGTCAGTTTCTGTTAGATTATAACCAAGGAAACCAATGGAGCAGTCTACTCTGTAATACATGGAGTGGTCTCTGAGTTGGAATCAACTGGACGGCAGCCAATAAAAATGGCATCTGTTCATGTGCAAAGTAACAGTTCTGAGCTCTACATAATAAGCCTACAGTGGTCTACTCCTTACTCTTCTGATTTTCTTTTAATTTACACTAATACATAGAAGAGTAAACGCCATACAAAGTGAAAAAAATTGAATATTTGGGTTCCATTAGCTTTAGCAAATGTGATTAATGAAGTAATTATAATATTCTATTTCAGACTTCAAAGACATAAAAAATCAGTGCCTTAATCCCCAATATGGTCTAATTTCTCTGCTAAAATAACGTTAGCAATTAAGAAATCAAATCAAAATGTATTCTTTGAATGCTCTTAATTACTTACCTGTAAAGTTTTCTTCCCACAATGTGAGTTATTTTCACAACCATTACAACAATCACAGGAAAAAGACTGCCATTTCCTAAATTTCCCTCATCTAATGACATAAACATGGAGAATTTTGGCAGAGTGGCTACGTGTTGAACTTTTACCAGAAGGTCAGCAGAGTGAAATGAACCCCAGCCAGTCCAAGATAGAAAGATGAAGATGTCTGCTCTTGTAAAGATCTAGTCTTGGAAACCTGCAGGGGCAGTTCTGCTTCGTCTTCCAGGGTCAGGGTCAGAATGGACTTGACGGTAGTGAGTGAATGGCATAAACCGATTGTCAATGTTATCATGTTCTCACAGAATGCCTTGCCTTTTACTTTATCACTTGGGGGTTGTTTTGAATCGACCAATTCTCAAAGAGGGTTGACTCATAATACTACATTGAACTTAGTAGCAAACTTCTATAAAATCAAGAATCCCTGGTGGTGCAGTAGTTAAGTGCTTGGCTGCTAGAGGGTTCAACCCACCAGATGCACTTGGCAGAAAGATGTGACAGCCGGCTTTGTAAAGATCGACAATCTTGGGAACCCCATGAGGCGAGGCAGTCCTACTCTGTCCGATGGAGTTGTTCTGAGGTGGAATGGGGTTTTTATACAGACATGTTAAGCAGGTTAAACTGAAGAGCTGTGAAACTATGGTTTGCTTCTTAGAACTTGACCCAAGTTAGTCAAATGAATACAGTGACGTGTAATATTGAGACCAAACTCAATTAAAACCATGAATTGCTAATTAGAGTTTAACCAGTCTTCAAATTTTATATCCAAGTACAGTACTTAATTTGAAATTCAGAAGCCCTAGTAACCTAAAATTATAGCAGCAAGTACTAACCCAAACCCAACTCTACCGCTGAGTTAGACTCATCGTGGCCCTATAGAGCACAGAATCGCCCCATAGGGTTTAGGGCTGTATAAATCTTTATGGAAGCAGACTAACACATCTTTCTCTGGAAGATCACCTGGCAGGTTTTGAATTTCCAACTTTTTGGTTAGCCACCGTGTCACCTGGGGGTCTTGCAGCAAGTACGCAAACTAAATGATCAAAATTCTAACCTAAGGAAACAGATATGCTCAGCTTAGTATTTGTTCTAGAGTATTTGCCAAAAGAGGTGTAGCTGATACAGCTGTTATTCAGTTCAATAAGCTTTTAATTATACATCATACTTTGTGGCATGCCTGCCATTGGGCTAGATCAGAGTAGGACGCAAGATTGATAACAGACACAGAAATGAGGGAATTTTATGGATGATCAATTAAGTTGTAAAAAAAATTAAGTTGTATATGTAAAGTATATGCTCATAAGACTACTGGAAAACTTTTAATATAAAATTTTAAAAATAAAATAAAAAGAGGTCATTTCAAAGCAATGTAGTGCTCAGAAGAGGGCCATATTGCAGTGGGTGAGATTGGGAGCTGTATCTGGTTTGAGTCCCACAGTGGCCGAGTTTACTTAGTGTTCACAAAGAGTTTGCCGTTCCTTTCTGGACATAATTATCATTGCTAACATCCTTGGTTTGCAAAAGGACCCCTGGTAGTGTAGTGGTTAAGTCCTCCTGTTAGCCCCAAGGTTTGATGATTCGTTTCCCCAGAGGCGGCTGACAGACAGGCAGAGTGGAATGCCCCTTTGCGTTTCTGAGGCCTGGCTTTTGGGAGCAGAAAGCCTACAAACCCTGCCAGGCACTCTCAATGTTTGGCAATTACCGAGGTCTACGGACCCCTGGGAACCCAAGAAAACAACTCCTGCATTAGGGCAAGGTAGAAGATCTGAAATCCATACACCATAGGTGACCGGTTAAGCTTTTCTTATTCAAAGCACAGTAGTCGATAAGGTTTATCATGTACTGATATCTTTTACCAATTTCAAATCATTAGTGGAAGTGCTTTGTTTGGGATAAATCTGGAGGCTGCCTGTAATAAGTTATGAACGGAAGGACCTTTCAAATATAATGTCCTAGAAAGAACTGTTACCTCCAAAGTATCGTTGTTCAAACCATAATACCACTTTCTCCAATGTCCACGACTCTCTGGAGATTTGGCCAGTTCTATCACAGCATTGTTTGAAGAAATGCTAATCGCTGGTTCTTTGCTACTTAACTTATTCTCTGGAGCAAACTGCAAAAAGAAGGAATAATGAACAAAGTTCTGAGTGGAGAAGCACAATGTGTACCGGAGGGGGCTCAAATCCCCTTGCAGACTTTGCGGCAGGATCTGAGGCACTTGAATGAGCAGAATCAGGGATTCTTCGTCTTGATTACATTGCAAAGGCGGGCACAGCAGGTCCGCACTCTCGGTCCTAGGACCTCCCATGGCCCCGTCACAGGGATCTCCGCCGGCGCCTTCTCGGTCTACGCGGGTCTCCACACTCAGATCTCCGCCGGCACCCCCTCTTTCTACACAGGGGCTCGCGTCAAGGTCCCAGGTTAAAACACAAGAGCCTCCGCCACCGCCCAGCGGCGCGCCCACGTGCCGGCCGGAGTCCGGCTCTTCCGGTTTGGGAACCAGCTCCTCCACGCCGCGCGGGGGCGACACCGCCTCGGGCGCACCCGGGGCGACGACCTCGGAGTCCGCAGCCCCTGCTCTGCTGGGACTCGAGTCTCGGTCGTCGGCGCGACTCCTAGCCAGGCCCGCCTCCTCCGGGAACGCGGGAACGCAGGCCGCGCCGTCAGTTCCGGACGGGTCGCCGGCACCTTCCGGCGCCGCGGGGAGCGCCTGCCGCGCCGCAGGCAGGACCACGGGCAGCGTGACGACCAACTGCCGCTGGGCCTTATGAAATTGCGCCTTGCCGCGGCTGTCGTCCACCGGGTACGGGAGCGAGAGCCGCAGCCGGTAGTCGGGCTTCCGCGAGTCGAGGCACAGCAGCTTGCCGCTCACCTCCAGGGCCGCCTGTTCGGCCGAACGCAGCAGCGGCAGCTCAATGGTGACCACCAGCTCGCGGGGCACGGGGCTCGGGGCCGAGTCGCGCGAGCAGCGATAGTCCTGCAGGTCCACGTGGTGGCGCTGCACCACGCTGTGGCGAGGCTCGGTGGGGGCGGGGTCCGACTCCGTGCGCGGGGCGGAGCAAGCCTCTGGAGGCGGGGTCTCCGAGTGCGCCGCCGCCGGGGAAGGGTAGGGGTAGGGGTAGGGGAAATGGGCAAGCGGGCCCTCGGGCTCCTCAGGCCGCGCCGGGGCACCCCCAGGCAGTGGGGTGCGGAGCACGGCGGCCTCCGGGGTCCCCTTGTACTTGATCTTCAGGGTTTTGGCGTTCCTGCGGTCCAGCTTTACACCGAACTGCTTCTCGACGGCCTCCAGAGCCGTGGCGTCCAGCATGTGGCGGAAGCTCTCGTGGCGCCGGGCGAGGGTGAGCGCGTCCGGGTGGAAAACCACGTCGTAGACCGTGTAGCCGGTGCCCCGGCGCCCCGCATACTCGCGGCCGGGCGTCAGGCTGTGCGGCAGGGACCAGCGGTGGCCCGGCGTGGCGCCTCGGGAGTCGGGCCGGCTGCTGGGAGCGCCCACCAGCGGGTTGCTGCACACGTTCACGTAGCAGCGCCGCGCGCCGTCCAGGCTGGTGCGCAGGACGCGGCCCGGCTCCGGGTGCACGAAGCGGACCTGCACCCCGCGCTCCCGCTCCAGCGCCGTGATCTCCTCCTCGTAGCGCCGCCGCTGTGCCGGGTCGCTGAGCTCCTGAGTGTAATCCGCGAACAGCCGCCGGAACTCGGGGTCCTGGAAGGCCGAAGTGAGCCGCTGTACCTCGTCGCCGCTGAGGTCCAAGTCCTCGAGCGAGGAGGCGGCGTTGGCCTTGGCCATGTTGCCTCGTAGCCGCCCGTTTCTGGCTGTGGGAGAGCAGGCTGCAGAATGAGGGGGACGCGCCTCCAAGCTCCTGCAGTGGCCAGTAACGGCCGAGAATCCAGCTCCAGGCGGCGCGTCCCCGTTGTCATAGTGACCGCTCCGCTACTCCGGAGAGCACTTCTAGTGGGATGGTGGAAATGCCAAAAACCACCTCTTGGTTTCTTTAAACCAACTACTCTAATGCGATTGTACAAATTATCAGATTTTATTGGGTGCTATTATGACTCTTAACAATCCATGCATCAACTGTATCAAGCATATTTGTACATATGTTGCCATCGTTTTCCAGACATTTACTTTTCTATTGAGCCCCTGGTATCAGATTTTCCCCTCCCCCAGCCCACCCTCGTGACCTCTTGATAAATTATCATTTTCATATCTTACCGAGGTCTCCCTTCCCCCATGGTTTCTGTTGTTCCTCTCCCTGAAGGGAGGGCGTGTGGTTACCTGTTAATCCTTTCTCCCTTCCTCTTCTCTCTCCCCGCTTTACCCCTACCGTCCTGGTATTGCTACTCCCATTCCTGTGTTGTGAGCTGTCTCTTTACCTGTGCACATGCTCCGGTCTAGCCCTCAGTGAAAGGCATTATTGGGGTCATGATATGTGGGGGGAGGTCAACGCGCTGGCATTTCCCCCCTGAGGGCAATCAGTTGCCAGACTGCAGTGGGCTCTGCTCCCTGAATGGACAGGCCTGCAGTCATCTATGTGGTTCCTGTAGGTGGGGTTTACACCCTACTGATAATGGTTACTATGGAGACCCAGGGAACAGGTCAAAGTTAAGCTGCCATCCTTAATCTAGGATCCATTCATCTTGTCACGTGTATACCCCAATCCCTCCTCTTGCTATTGCTTGTATGTCCCTAGACCACCCTTCTCATTACTGTGTAACCTATAGTGCAACCCCTCCCGGTGACGTATGTCTCTACCTGTAATTGGTGGGCTGGCATGCCCCCAAAATGTATATAGGCGTGAGTCTTAATATAGAGCTTTCTCTGACCTCTCTCTGGGCTCTCCCTGGTCGCTCCCCGCTACCCCCTCTCCTCTCCCATCCTCTCTCCTTTGTTCCCTTGACCTCCTTCCCTTCCCCCTCTCTCCACGTGGACCACCAAGCTGGGCTGAGGTGAGCAATGTTACCATGTAATGTGTCTGACTGCATCATTGTAATATCTCTTATCTCTCATGCTCTCAATGACTTTAATACTTATATATCTCAACCGTACAATTGTGCTTATTGAACCCGTGGGTAGTAGCAGCGGGTGGGGCTGGCCCCCCACCCCAAACTTAATACTGCAATGATAGTGGGGGTTGAGGCAGCCTTAAGGAACCAGAGGAATATTGTTTTATCGGTGCTTCACTGCACCTTGGTTGACTCATCACTTCCCTGTGATCCCTCTGTGAGGGGAAGTCCCATTGTCTACAGATGGGCTTTGGGTTTATTGCAGCACAATTCACAATCGCAAAGAATTGGAAACAACCTAAATTTCCATCCATAAACAAGTGAATTCGTAAACTCTGGCACATACACACAATGGAGTACTGTGCATCGCTAAAAAGCACTGATGATCACATGAAGCATGTCTTTTCATGGGAAGAGTTGGAGGAAATGATGCTAAGCGAAGTTAGTCAATCATAAGACAGGTATATGAGTCCCCTGAGTTAAGTATAATCAGCACACTAGGTATAGAAGAAAAGCTACTTAACCCACACTATGTGCCTGGGTTGAGGAACAGGCAGTCGGGTGAGGTCGGACCAAACCCGTTATTCTAACTCAGTCTTTAAAACCTCTGCTGCAGTGAGATTAGCCTGCTAATTAAACATGGAGTCAGAGAGTGCATGGTATTTCCCAAGGCCAGAAGCTTAGAATGCTTGTGTTTCTCACTGGCTCATCTTTCAGATTTCTCTGTTCCACCCACAATACATACAAGGTTGTCAGTGCAAACCAGATACATGGTATCCCTTCGTTCATCCACTCATTAATTGAACAAATAATTGCTTCAGTAACTTTCCACCTAGCTTCCGTTACTGGATGATGCTGATCCTCACTTGGTTCCTGTGTTCATCTAAGATTTAACTATCTTGCTTGATTCCACATCAACTTGTCTAACCCCAAATACATCCTATCTTTTAATCATTAACTGTTTTCCTTGCTGAAAAGATGTCAAAATACCTCAGCTTTAACTTTATGAGGCAATTACGTGTTGAATAAACAAGGCATACCTGGCATCCAGTTTGTATTTTTCTTTCATATGAAGCTCAGCTCAGTCTATTTCATCACCACTTTCAGGTATCCCAAATGTACTCTCCCCACCCCCACCCCCAACAAGGCAATATAGTGACTTTAAACTTATATCTTGTTTTTCTCTCTCACATCTCCAACTACTGGTTACTGCTACTCATTAGTACTAATTCGTTTAAAACTGAATTCTGATTAAAATTTCAGGGTGCATCACTATGTTTTATATTTGAAAACTTTTTTATACAACCCCTGTACCTCTGCCTAACAGATTCATTTCTTAGCCATCAAGACCATAAACTAGATAAATATGATGGTGTTGAGTGCTTATGTACAAAATAAAACACGCTGCTTCAAAATGAACATGTCTTCTAATGTTAAAACTAAAGGGACTATTAATTTTTCTACTTCCAGCCCCCAAAACTTCAGTGATTACATAACTAAAATCAAACTAATATTATGAAGCACAGATTTTTACTATCAGTATAGTCTGACTAAAATTTAGACTGTTTTAAAATTGTGGAGGTTACTATTGGGACACTTAGAAACCTTTAAATGTATTTTTTTAAGTTAACATCATAGTATAACCAATATACAGGCAACTTTAGTTTTTAAATGTAAATTTATACTTTTAAGTTATTTTGTATCTATACATATTCACATCTTTTTCTTAAGACTATAGAAAATATATTAATTGTAAAAAATTTTTACGTATTTTTTTTACATATTTGATTATTGTGATTTAATAGTAAAGACTATTAAATGTAAATAAACAACTCTAAAGTTATAATTTTATTATAAATTAATATCAAAATTACATAAAATAAATGAAGCAGAAAACTGAAGAATTTTGTTTCCTCGCATGGTCTTTAAGAATCTCAAAAACCTTCAAGTTTGCTGAAAATAGAAAAAAGGAAAGTTAAACCTTTCAGAAACCTAATTTGTATCCCAATATTTATTTTTAATTACTCCAAAATAATACATGCACATGTTCCAAATTCAAAGGGGCACACATTCAAAAGTAAGTTAGTCCCATACCTTATTTCTGCTCCTTGCAGGGATTTGTATGTATGTCCTTAATTCTAGTCATATATTAGAATGCTTATAGACAAAACCATTACAAAGGCACACATGAGTGCAGAGTGTTATGCACATTATTCTACACTGACTTTTAAATGGTTGCAAATATATTTATCATTTACTTAACCAGCCCCTTCTTTTGTGTGTTTGAAAGTTAAGTGAGAAAAGTTCTGGATACATCATTGCCGTTTTATTCTGTAGAGCTGCTGCTAAGTCATCGTGGCTCGAAGCACAACAGAACCACGCACTCCTGGTCCTGCACCATCCATCCATACAGCATCTTCGTTAGGTTTGACCCATTGTTGCAGCATTATGTCAGTCCATCTCTCTGAGGGTCTTATTTTTTCTGGACTCTGCCAAGTCTCGTCTAGGGACTGATCTCTCAAGATGACACATCCCAAGTACATGACACAGCCTTAACCATCCTTGCATCTAGCAGGTGCTCTGGGTGTACATCTAAGACGGTTTGTTCATTCTTTTTGCAGTCATGGCATATTCTGTCTTCACCAATATAGTAATTCAAATCAGTTATTTCATCTTCCTTCCTTGTTGATAATTTCCACATTCCATTGGATCACCTTTTTTTGAAATGGGATCAAATATGGATCTGTTCCCGTTGTTTAGGTAGTTCTCTTCCAAATTTATTATTGATGAGTGTTAGCTTTCAATATTGTATCATTTCAGTAATGAAATTAATCCATCTCAATACTGTCTCGATAATCCATCAATTCCTGGAGTCTTGTTTTTTTGGTCAGTTCCTTCAGTACAGCTTAAACTTCCAGCAGTACCATAGGTCACCATATCCAACCTTCTTTAATGGTTGGGTGATCCATTCTTTCTGGTACAGTAATTGTTTATTCCTCCCCTCTTTATCCTCCCCCTCTAGCACACAGTATTTAAAAATTATTTTACCCTGTTAATTTAGACATATTCCATTTGAGAAAAATATCAATTATAACATTAATTACTACTTTTATTAAGTGCCAAGATCTTAAGGTCTGTATATGCTCTCAAATTCGATTTCGCCGCCTTCATGATAATGGCATGTTGAAAGCTATGCCCATACCTGTGGTTTCAGCTCACCTTCTGTGTTTCATTCCTCCTAGATTTAGACATTCTCTGCTCTGATTATTAATGCATGTTTGCAGCTGTTCCCATTTTGAGTTCTGCCACATAAACAGATGAAGGTCCCTAAGCTTTACTTATATCATTCAGTGTGGCACAGAAGGAAGCGGCTTTCTCCAGCTGTAATTGAAGTCCCTTCAACTCGGAAGGCTTCATCTTCTGGCACAGTATCAGGCGATATTCACTGCTGTTCATGAGATTTTCACTGGGCTGTTTTTGTTTTGTGTTGTTTGGTTTTTGTTTTAGAAGTGGATCACCAGGTCCTTTCTAGTCTGTCTTAGTCTGGAAGCTCTACTCAAATCTGCCCTTCACTAGTGACCTGCTGGTATCAGAAATACTGGTGGCATACTTTCCAGTGTCCCTGTAACATGCAAGCTACCACAATACAACAAAATGACAAAAGAGTGAATACAAGCAAAAATACCTTTAAATGATTTCATTGCTATTCTGTATTCACTTAATATAAAACTACAATAAACATCTGTATCTGTGTATGTTTAAGCCCATTTATAACCATAGGATATACTTCTAGAAATCAGCAGCCTCATCGTTTTCCTTCAGAGCCACTTGGTGGGTGTGAAGTGCCAGTCTTTTTGGTTAGCAGCCCAATGCCTAACCTTCTCCATTATAAAAGCGGACTGCAAATTTGGCTGTGCTTCCTAGCAGCCGAAGAGAAGGGGGACCATTAGAAGACTCGCGGTTACTTAGGAGCAGACACAGACTTCTCTTGTACTGACACCTGTAGAAAGTGCCCAATATTGGTTTTCCTAACAGGCTGTCCGTGTGTTTTGTTTTGCTTTTTAACTTAATTTTTATTTTTAAGTTATGTGTTGTTGTTGATGGTATAACCCAATTCTCTATTGATTAATAGTCAATCTAAAGGCAAAGGAAGTAATAAGCTCCAGACCCTCAGAAGTTACTTGCTCTCAAATAACAAAGTGAAACCCTCCAGGGGCACCACGGGACAGACATGAGGGAGGGAGGGCCTGGAGGAGAGTACTCAAAAGGCATAGCAAATACATATATTTTTTTCAAATATATTTTTAGATCATTTATTGAAAGCCAAGTTTGTACAGATCATTGCAATATGATAAAATCAAACACATTAGATTTATGGTACTAGAATCTACGATATCGATGTTTATGCGAAGTATCTGGTCTGTCTGTATTCCAAGAACCAAGCAGTGTTTGGTATGTTTTAAGTACTGAAATATGTCAAATGAGTATTTTCAAGAATACAATTTACGGGATTTCATAGAATGAATGGACACTGAATCTATTGAGTATTGAGCAGCAAGAATATAAGTATAATGTTTTCCCAAGACATATAATAAACTGCTAATCATGTCTTCAGGATTTAGATGGGGAGATTATTACCATTACAATTTTACACCCCCTCCCCCCAATTTTAGCCCTTTAAGAAGTGTTTTAAAATTTTACTCTTTACTCCTTCTCACATTAAAAAAAAGTGCCATCTCACATTAAAAAAAAGTGCCAATTCACACAACATATAACCAAATGTTAATTAAAAAGAACAGGTCAGTCACATTTAGTATAGAATTCAACCACCTCATCTATCTAATATCAAACCAATTTCATTATCACAAGAGAAAACCTGTACCCATTAAGTAGTGGCTCTAATTCTCCCCTCCTTTACCCCTAAGCAACCACCAAATTCTCTGCTGTCTCTATGGATATACCCATTCAAAATATTTCTTATAAATGGTATCATAGAATATAGGACATTTTGTGTGTGATTTCTTTCCCTTGTGTTCACTTTTATTTGAATGAATGAGTATATTTTCAAAATTATGTTCTCTGACAAGAACCTGGAGTGTAATTTGATCACTGGCTCTTAATAAGAAGTAGGATCTTTGTCTAAGAAATCATTGCGTATGATGACATGTTTAAATGCATACTTATAAAATGCATACATGTTTAAAATGTGTATTCTTGGTTCCGATAACTAGATGTGTATTTGACAAGTGGAGTAAAAACCCAAATGAAACCAACTGCTGTCTTACAGTCACCCTGTATCAGGGAGGAACCGCGGCCCCACAGGAGCTCCAATGCCACAGACTGTCACAGCCTTCTCTAAAGAGCAGCTGATGGATTGAAATCACCAACTTTATGGTGGGCAGCTAAGTACTAACCACTGTACCAACTGGGCTACCCAAGTCTGCAACAGAATCTTGGAATCTTAACATTTTTAACAAGGACTCCAGTAGATTCTGATGTAGGTGACATATATACCACCCGCTGAGAATCACTCGCCACCCAGGTGAATTTTCCCCCCCAAAACTTCATTCCAGCCCTAAACTTGCCACCATCACTACACTCCTACTCAGTATACACCCAACACTCACTTCTTTTGTTGCCCATTTAAGGATTACACAGGTTTGAGAATCAGCCATGTGGAAAGCGGGGCTGGTCTCTTGTACTAAGAGCATCACCAGGAGTTTGCTTATTAGAGAACTAAGCCCACCTCCACAACTAGTTTGAGATTGCAATCCAAAGAAAGTTTTGATCTGCTTCAATTTTGATCCGCTTCAACACAAACATGCGGAGAAGTACTTGCAACTCTGTCACACAGCATGCCCACAGCCTAGATAATTTCCAGTAGGCCGCTAGAGGCAGTTCTGCAACTCATTTCTGCAAGCCTACTGACCATCTAATTTTTAGCAATACCAAAAGAAAGCTCCCTCGTGCTATTTCTATGGGTATACTCACCTATCTTCTACTGTCTTGTTCGAAGGATAAAAAACTTTGAATGAAAATCCACTTCTTGGAAAAGAACCCTTTGAGAAGAAAAATGGCTGTAAGTAATTATTCAATTTTTATAAAACACAAATAAATAAATAAATAAAAATTTTATGAAGCATTTTCAATTTTTAAAGCCAAAACTCTTGGTTTTTGGAATGAATTTTACATAATAAGGTCCACAACTTAGAAATAAGGTTACAAGGTGTGACTAAAAGTAAGACAGGTTTTCACATGAGTTCTATGGAGAAGGTGTTATTATGAAGTATATCACTTGAAGCAAAAATTTTTCATTGGGTAAACAATTATGTTAATTTGCCTGGAAATGCTTAGGCATGGCTGCAATAAAAAGTAAGCAATATTATGTGATGCTAAATATGCATATGGGACACTAAATATCAGGGTCAGAAGGTTTCCTATTCCTCTCCCTAGTCAAAATTGGTGTTTGATGCCCTTCCGATGTGCCCTAAATCACCTAGCAATAACCACACAATTGTCTGTCTACTACTAAACTATAAAGTTAATGAGCAGTGGCTGTCATTTCAGTCCTTGTGTCTCTAGCATCGAATTCAATGCCTGGCTAATGGCAGGCATTCATTAATGTTAAGTATCAAGAAAAAGATTATAGGGATAAAATGTTGAAAGCAAAGCCTGGCTTTGTTCAAGAGGTATACATAAAAAGGTGGTGGTTTACAGGAAGAAAAAGCAGGAAAACTCAGAAATGGTGTGTTTTGAAATACAGCCGTAATTATGAGAATATCCAGGATTATATTTTAATAAAGAAATGGTCTTACTATGAAACCGTATTTGAAGGTGAAGATATAGAAATTAAGCCTCAGCTCTCAAGCAATGAAACCAATCAGTTTACTGTGTTCATCTCATGGAGCTTTGGTATTGAACCATGGACAATTTTGCCCCAGGAACATTGGGCAATGTCTGGAGACATTTTTGGTTGTGGTGCTACTAGACTCAAGGGGGTGAAGGCCAAGGATGCCGCTCTACATGCCACAATGAACAGATAATGCCGCTAAACAGTCAACAACAAAGAAATTCTCCAACCCAAAGTGACAATAGTGCTGAGACTGAGAACTCTTGTCTTATAGAAAGGCAAAATAATGTGAGGAAAGAAGTAACCAATCATGCATGATGTTTCTAGAAATGACCAAGATGAAACCAAGTATTACAGTCTAAAATTCACAGCCATCAAGGAAGTACACAAGTTAAAAATTCCTAGTAAAGGAAATATTCTTTTTTGTTACAGCAGTGTTCGTGTATATGTTATGTTTATGTATATTATGTACTTTTATGGAAAATTCTGAAGAAACTTAAAAGCACTCCATAAAAATGAAATAGTAAAACGTGTCCCAATGTCCCCATTCATGAGGCCTGGATGTTGGGACATGAGTACATTTTCAAAAATCAAGACCATCCTTAAAGAATAGGTGTCACAGACATATTTAAAGAAAATGAAATAACAGCTCTGAAAGTAATTCCTACAGAGGAATTGCAAGGGAAGTTACTCTGAAGGGGAAAATATTCACTTGAAACACAAAAAGGCTTCAAAAGGATCACAGAAAATGGAATTAAAAGAGAGTAGAATTTTCCATGAATCTTTTTGAAGTCTCCCGTTGTATAAGTTATAATGGATGTGTGTTCATGTGTGTGTGTGTGTGTGTGTGTTGGTTTTAAAGGTCATATTACATTATAGTCACACACTATACCAAAAGTTTATAAGAACTTTCTGTTTACACCAACAAACAGTATATTTTACACCAACAGTAATTTGATTAACTATGTACTTTAAATTGAAAGAAATACATTCTAGTCTTGACTATATACTGTTAACTACATTCTTACAGGGTTTATGCAGAGGCAGTCAGTATTGGTCATCGTGAAAGGATCGTATTTGTCTGCAATGACTATTAGATCAGGCACAGGATACACTCTCAAGGTATAGTCATATGCCCAGTACACTGGGCACACAAAAAGGGGGAGAGGAGTCAGGTGGCCTTGGGATAAGATCGTCTTTATAAACTATAAAAGAAAGACATAAAAGACAACATATTTCAATTCATATGAAGACTTAAAATATCATACAAATAATTTCAAATTAAATGTTTCTAAAAGAAATTAGAAAACTTCTAGAAGCAAGTTTAATCAGCTTAGGAAATCACAGGTGTTTGATATAAAATTAATTATCCGATATTTCAAAAATCTGAGTTTTCATTTATTATCATAAGCCAGAAAAGCTACTCTCCCAAAAATATTACTTTTATTCGAGCAACTGGGCACATTTTGTATAATTATACTCATTTACTGATTGTTTTTACCTAAAAATAATTTCAGAGCTTGAATAAAATAAGAGGTGCTCAGCCTCTGTAAACTTTATTATAAAATAAATAATTTAAATATTCTGTATGATCTGCTTCTAATCAAATGGTGGGACTTGTATCCAGGCATTAACAATGTGTAAGGGAACCTTGAAGCTACAAAATAAACCTGATGTGGAATATCATGACATATACAAAAAACATGACAAATAACATTTTATTAAGTGTATATATTTAGGAGCTTTGGTGGCTAGTGGGTGATGCAATGGATGGGTAACCATAAGGATAGCAGTTTCCATAAAACCATCACCTTAACAAAATAGCCTATACTGTTAACATGTTAGATGGTTTAAGAAAGAAGGCTTAACTTACATGATTTGGAATATCCAAGTTGCTACTAGGAAAACGGAGACAATTCCTGCACATTTTGTTCACTAAGTCTTCACGAAAGACAATAATTTCTTGTGTACAATACTGAATTCTGAAATGAAAATAGTAGTTGAATTTGTTCTTATTAAAAAAACAATTTTAAAGGTAAAATGTTTTATCTCTACTTCTCATTGTAAAACAGCAAAAATTCAATCAGAATCTTATCAAACCATTTTATAGGTGAGCTCTTTAGATGTGTCTAGCATTGTTCAAGTAATGAATAAATCAAAAAGACTCTAGCCCCCAGAATCGGAAAAGGCGAAGGCAACAAACAATAAACATAATTTTATTGTATATTAGAAGTGTATAGATAAAAGAAAACAATAATGGAGTGAAAAGGTGGGAGTGAGGGTCTGGCAGCCTGGAGTATTAAATGAGGTGATCAGTACAGGTAGAGCTTATTCAGAATGGTGATTTAGCACAGACTTGAGGTCAGACAGATATTCAGACAGATTTCCAGGGAAAGAACACTGCAGAGAGAGTAGGTATAGCAAAGGTCTGAAGACTGAAATTTTCAATCATGGCTGCTGCAAAGGGGAGATCATGCCTTGACTACTACTGCTAGGTTGAGAGTAGCAGTACTGAATAACATAAGGGGTCCTTTCTTTCAGGATCAGTAAGGACGCATGCTGTTTGCTTTCAAGGTCACTCTGATATTACCTTAAGGATGTGTTCTACAGAGAGGCAGGGTTGTAGATGCTAGAGACCAGTTAGGAGGCTATTACACTAATCTGATCTAGAGACGATCTAATGATGGCGGTTTAGAGAAGAGACTAGATTCTGGATATATTTTCAAGTCAACAGAATTTCCTGAAAAACGGAATGTGAGGAGGACCCCAAGGTTTGGGGGCTTAGTAACTGGAAGGATACAGGCACCATGGATGAGGATGAGGAAAGCTGGATCAGGAGCTGAGTTCTAAATTGACAGACATCTATGTGAGATTATGAGTAGAAAAGAAAACATGTTATTCTTAGGTGCCAGTGCGTAGGTTCTGACTCATAGTGACCCAGTTATGTACAAACACCACGAAACACTGCCCAGTCCTTTGCCATCCTCACAATTGTTCTAGGTTGGAGCCCACTGTGTCAATCCATCTCAATGAGTGCCTTCTTTTTTCTCTGCCCCTCTACCAAGCATGATGCCCTTTTCCGGGGATTGGATTCTCCTGACAACATGTCCAAAGTCCTGAGACAAAGTCTCGCCATCCTTGCCTCTAAGGAGCATTTTGTTTATAGATTTGTTTGTTCTTTTGGCAGTCCTTCAGTCAATGTTCTTTACCAGCACCATAAATCAAATGCTTCAATTCTTCCGTCTTCCTTATTCAGTGCCCAACTTTCACAGGCATACAAGGCTTAGGTCAGCCACACCTTAGTCCTCAAAGCAGCCTTGCTCTTCGACACTTTAAAGAGGGCTTGTGCAGATTTACTCAATGCAATGCGTTGTTTGATCCCATGCTCTTAGCAGACTGATCAGAGTGTGAAATTAGAAGAGGTCTTAGCTAGAAATATAAATGCAGTTGTCTACAAATAGGTGATATTTAAAGCCACAGGACAGGATAAGGTCACCAAGGGACTGAATATAAATAGAAAAGGGAAAAACTAAGGCTGAATCTTAGGGTAGTTCCACAGTAAGATTCTATGATTAAGTGAGAGACATATAGACTTAAGTATGTCATCCTTTCATTCTCCCATTATGACTTAAAAACATGTGATATGTACTTTAAAAATCTCCAGCCACTGTTCTAGCTTCTAATTTCAATTTTATTGAATTATTTAAATAGTGTAAAATTTTTCAAAGTTTTGAGGAAATAAAACAAATAGCAACCTTTTCTATTTATTCCATAACAGTCAAAATTCAGATATAAATTTTTTTATATGAAAGAATAAAAACTAACACAAAATACTGACACTTACCTGCAAGGGTTAGTAGTGAAAACTGAAAATGGTACTTTTTCTTTGAATTCACTCGTGATGCTTTCTGCAAGTGGTGGCCTACAAAAACAATTTATGTGATGCAGTTTACATTTTTTAATTTTACAAAAAGTACTTTATTATTGCAAAACTTTGAATCAAACTTACCTTGGTAAGATGGAACCGAATCCAGGATCTTCTGGACCAGGTACAAACACAAAACGACTACTGCAGCACAATTCAATAAAACTCTTTAAGGTTTTGGGTTTATCTCTACAACCTTATCCATTATTCTAAAACAACTTATTCCCTTTAATTGAATCATGAATTTTAGAAAATATTTAAAATTTCACATTTTAAGAAACTGTTAAACATCTTTAGACTAGCCATGCCTGATCGAGTTTTCTATGCTGACAGATGTTCAAGACCATCACTATCTGATTATCGAGAACTTGAACTGTGGCTAGTAGACCAAAGGACAGATTCTTCGATTTTATTTAACTTTAATCAGTTTAACTGATTTACAAAAAACAAAAACAAAACTGTGGCTACTGAGGACCATATGGGACAGTGTAACTCCAGACTCAAGTAATGTCATGAAGAAATTAAAAATGTTTTTGTAATGAACATTCTTAATACTTATTCATGATAAATCTATAGGACAATATAACGTACATTAACATGGTATGAGGATAATTATATCTCAGTGCTATTTTCTCAACTTCCTTTTCTTCCGTTAGCTTCTTATCACTGGTATATGACAGATTTGTTTATTTAGCAAAACCCTATAAATTAAAAAGTTTAACAATAGAGACCATTACCTTTGGTGAATAGTTGGGTATTCACATATTATGTCTGCCAAAGTTTTTAGGGAATCTAAAATTTTAAAGGGATATTAAATTTAACGTACATATACAGACATAAAAAATTTATTTGATTAGGTGTAGTTCTACAACTTTTGAATAAAATTAAAATTTAAATAATATTATCAATTTATGCAGGGGAACATTTCTTATTAAATAGACCGTCAATACCTTTCAAAGATTGAACTTGATTTTTTCCATATGGTGCCGATGAAAAATTACCACAAAGTATAAAGCAAGTTGGAGGTGCCGGTGAATAACCTGAGGAATAAAAGAACAAATGACCATCACTTCCCTAGACCAGAGATCAGATTAAAAGTCCACTGGTGTGCCAGTTGGATGTTTTTATGTCAACTAGACATTCCTGGCTAAGAGTGGAGTCAAACTTGTTGGCTCAAGGGGTAGCCTGATGATACAGTAAGAACCCTGGACCTTGACGCTCAACCGCTCTAGAAGGAGCGTCTAGAAGTGATGCAGTCGAATTCTGAATCAATTTTTCCCACAAGAAATAACTGAAGAAGGAATGCAGAGTGGAGACCCAAAGCCCATCTATAGGCAGCTGAGTATCCCCTTACAGAAGGGTCGCGGGGAGGAGACCAGCCAGTCAGGGTGCAGTGTAGCAATGATGAAACATACAACTTGCCTCTAGTTCTTTAATGTGTCCGCCCCCCCCCCCCACTATCATGATCCCAACTCTACTTAACAAATCTGGCTAGTACACTGGGTACAGATAAGAGCTGGAAACAGGGAATCCAGGACAGATAAATAATGAGAGTTGCAATGCCAGGAGGGGAAGGGGAAGGTGAGGGAGAAAGGTGGAACTGATCACAATGATCTACATATAACCCCCTCCCTTGGAGACAGAAAAAAGAAAAGTGGGTGAAGGGAGACATCAGACAGTATAAGACATGAAAAAATGATGATTTATAAATTATCATGGGTTTGGGAGGGAGTGGTGGAGGAGAACAATGAGCTGATAGCAAGGGCTCAAGTAGAAGGAAAATATTTTCAGAATGATGATGGCAACGAATGTACAAATGTACTTTACACAATGGACATATGTATGGATTGTGATTAGTTGTATGAGCCCCCAATAAAGTGATTTAAAAAAAAAAAGAAATAACTGAAAACAGATTAATCCATTCTCGACCACCAAGTTTTATCCAAACCTTGCCTTTTTGTACAAAACATTACACAGAAATTTCAAAGTATTAAGTTCAGAATTAAATAATATTTAAATACAAAACACAACACGTTAAAGTTTTTAATAACTGCATTATGGCCCACACCTTGAGACTGATGAGGATCTGGATCTGTGGACACGGACGTGGAGAGGAGGGATGGAGAGTCATTGTTTGAAAGGGGAATCCCCTTCCATGAAATCAACTGGTGGCTGCTCCTCAGGAGTTTTACCCTCCTCTTTGCCTTTTTCACTAGGACCTGGCTGGCTTTCTCTTAAAAAAAAAAAGATCTGTCTAATATGGTCTGCTGTTGGCATTTCCTTAACTGTTTTCTAAAAAGGTTTACTAATTTATCATCAGTAATATCGATAACACGGTTAACCAATTCCTTTCATGATGATTATTTTTAAAAAACTCTTAGGATCCATGTTTTTTTATCTGAAAACAGTACAAAAAGCCACACAAACTAAGCAAATGATAGCAAAAAGCTTGGAACAAAGCCACAAAAGGTTTAAACAATGTGTACTAACAATGCCAACTAATGCCAAGTGACCGAAAAACGAACTGCTTTTGTTTACAAAAGTCACGTGCATTGGGTCGGAATCCAATATTTTGTTCAAGCTCTGATGCAAAATTTTGTCTACGTTTCATGTTGAAATCCGATTATGTCGAGTACCGATGTGGCTGAGTACCGGCATTATACTGTACCTCCTCGGTGGTGTGGCCTTTTGTATGAAAATGAGGGACTCTGGGAACTCTTTCTGTCTCCCTGCTTTCTGGAATTCTGCCTACCTTCTTCATTGCTCTGTGTGGCCCACCCAAACCTTAGCGCTGCCGGCGCCCTACCATGTTTCCACTGACTTTGGATGCCCAGCATTCAGCATTCACTAGCCTGTGATCCTCCTGCTGTCTGACTCGCTGGCCTACAACTAGCTACATGAGCCTGAAGACTGAGAGATGGACTAGCATTAGATTTAGGGACTTGAGTTGGACTCAGCTGGGATTCCTTTCTGATATATAATTATGTTGTTTTTTTAAATCATTTTATTGGGGGCTCATACAACTCATCACGATCCATACTTCCATCCATTGTATGTCAAGCACATTTGTACATTTTTTGCCCTCATCCTCAATATAATTTTTTATATAAAGCTCTTTCATATACATAAATGAGTGTCACTGGATCTATGTTTTTAGACAACCCAGCCTAACACAATTGGCTATAAGTTTATGGTAATTAAGAAAACCTTATTTTTCTCTGTGATGTTCACCTTCCCTGACACGATCGCTGAAGACAAATGGGTCCATAAGCAAATGTGGTTTAAAAAGCTGATGGTGCCCAGCTATCAAAAGATATAGTGTCTGGGGTCTTAAAGGCTCTTGAAGATAAACAAGCGGCCATCTCGCTGAGAAGCAACTAAGCCCACATGGAAGAAGCACACCAGCCTGTGTGATCATGAGGTGTCCATGGGATCAGGTATCAGGCATCAAAGACGCAAAACAAATCAAAATCATATCGATGCGAATGAAAAGGAAGGCAGACTGGAGCCCCTCAGCCCATTAATAGTCAATTGGACATCCCATCAGAGCCAGTTAGGGTGCAGTATAGCACTGATGTAACACACAACTTTCCTCTAGTTCTTTAATGCCCCCAACTATCATGACCCCAATTCTACCTTACAAATCTGGCTAAACCAGAACATGTACACTGGTACAGATAAAGAGCTCGGAACACAGGGAATCCAGGACAGATAAACCCTTCAGGACCAATAATGGGAGCAGCGACACTAGGAGGGTAAAGGAAGTGGGGGTCGAGTAAGAGGAATCGATCACAACGATCAACATATGGCCCCCTCCCAGGGGGGTGGACAGCAGAAAAGTGGGTGGAGACAGTGGTCAGTATAAAACATGAAAAAAGATATATAAGTTATCAAGGGTTCATGGGGGAGAAAAGGTGGGGAAGGGAGGGAAAAAAAACAAGGAGCAGATCCCAAGACCTCAAATAGAAAATGTCTTGAAAAAGATGATGGGAACATATGTACAGATGTGCTTGACACAATGGATATATGTATGGATTGTGATAAGAGCTGTAAGAGCCCCCAATATAATTTTAAAAAGGAAGAAAAAAGCTTATTTTAATAGCATTAAGTTATTATTAATAAAGTAATAGTAATAATTGTTTTTAAGTGCTGTCAAGTAGTTTCTAAATCATAGTCATCCTGTGTACAACAGAATAAACCACTGCCCAGTCCTGTGCTGCCCTCACAATTGTCCTTACGTTTGACCCATTATGTCAACATGTCACTATTGTCAATCATCTCGTTAAGGATCTTCCTCTTTTTGCTGCCCCTCTACTAATACATATGATGCCCTCCTCCAGGAACTAGTCTCTCCTGATAATATACCCAAAGTGTGTTTATTGAGTACTTATTATACGCCAGGCCTTGCATCAGCTTAATTAACTCTCATAACATCCACGTAACCTGAGACAGAGAGTAAGTCATCTGACGAAGGTATTAAGCTGGGTCTTAGACTCTCCAAAGCCCAGAGCTCCCATCTATTATAGTATGCTGCTGTTCTTATGCTGTCAAGTTGCCTTTTAACTCAAATCCCATGTTGACCTGCTCTGCCCCACAGGGTGTCACACAGGCTGTCATCTTGACACAAGCAGATTGCCGGTCTTGCTCCCACAGAACCGCTGGGTAAGTTTGAACTGCCAACCTTTCAGTTAGCTGCTGAGTGCTTGACTATTATACTCTAATAAGGGCTAACTCTTATAATAAACACACAGAAACACATATATTCATTTTCTAATGTAAAAAGTCTTTCAGATGAAATCTGATTTAAGATGTCTTATTACTAAATTACGACTTTTAAATAATTAGAATACTCAAAACACATTTTTGCAAAGCATTTTTTAAAGCATTTCATTTTCAGATAGGAACTATCTTAATGAGTCTAAAAAGGGACTAGAAGAAAATAACACATACCAGAAAACATTGTGTGCAGTTTTTCCAGTACTTCTACTTGGTCCAACCAAACATCAGATATGAACACAAACATGGCGTCTTTGTGCTCGTCTTCCAGTTGTTTGAGTTTTGCAGACATCTTCACTGAAGTGGTGCAAGGCCCTCCAAAGAAATTAATGTTCCCATAGTAGGCCCTAAGTAATTACAGAACAGCAATTATTATCTTCTACCCTACATTATTCTGAGACACTTTTCTAGTTAACCTTATAAATTGAGCTTTTTGGTATATAATGAGGTTTTATTAACACTAATGCAAATTGTACTGAGAACATGTACTATTTGTGGCACTTCAAAAAGCTAACAATTTAAATCTTTAAAACAAAACAGGAAGTAGTAAATAAAGTAGTGAACTTTTTCTTTTTAAAATTTTATTTGTTTTGGTATTTTTTTAAAATGAGCTTTTTCTTATCTGTGCTTTTAAAAGCTGGCTACAGCAAAGAGTAAATAATAATTTCCTATGTTGATAAACGTAAGAGAAAATGGATATCCAATTTTAAAAATATCTTAAAGCCTCAGTGTTGTGCTACCCATTTGACTGTGCAATTTCACTTCTAGAAATCTGTGCTGAGGAAGTAAGGATGAACACAAAGACTAACATTCCACAGTTGTGAGCGTTTGGAAGGAAACAGGAAGTCCCGCTCAGAAGGATGTGCACAAGCCAGACCTTCAGAGGGTTAGCCTACTCTGCATTGGAAGACATCCCATCGCTCCCAGCTTAAATGTTACGATCCTACAGAAGCTTCTGCTGAGGATCCAAAAGATGTTAGATCTTCCTATTATATACTAAATAGCATCCTGCACTGCTCCTTTGTGAAATGCATCAAATTGTCATCACCTACTCTGGGGGGTGAGTATTTAATGTTGAACTCCTCCAACCAGCACAGAGCCAGGTATGTATTAAAAATTTATTTACTAAAAAAAAAAAAATTTATTTACTGGGGACGAATAACAGAAATGTGGGCGGAGACAACACGAAATAACAATAATATACAATTGATAAAAAAGATTTATGAGCGTGGGCGGGCAGGGGAAAAAAGAGGAACTAGTAACAAGGGCTCAAGTAGAAAGAAAATGTTTTGGAAATGTTGATGGCAACATATGTATAAGTGTGCTTAATACCATTGAATGAGGGATTGTCATAAGATTTATAAGATCCCTCCCCCCAGTATCCTGACCTCAATTCTACCTTACAAATCTGACTAGACCAGAACTTGTACACTGTTACAGATAAGAGCCCACAACACAGGGAATCCAGGACAGATAAACCCCTTAGGACCAATAATGAGAATAGAGATACCAGGAGGATAAGGGAAAGGTGGGAGGAGAAAGGAGTAATTGATCACAAGGATCAACATATCACCCCCTCCCAGGGAGATGAACAACAGAATAGTGGGTGATGGGAGACAGAGAATGATGTAAGATAAGAAAATAATAATCTATAATTTATTAAAGGTTCATGAGAGAGGGAGGGTGGGGGAGGATGGGAAAAATGAGAAGCTGATATCGGGGCTCAAGTAGAAAAAAATGCTCTGAAAATGATGATGGCAACATATGTACAAATGTGCTTGACACAATGGATGAATGTATGGATTGTGATAAGAGCTGTAAGAGTCTGCAGTAAAAGTATTTAATAAAAAATAAAATAGACTAGGGAAAAAAAGATGTGTAAGAGCCCAATAAAATGATTAATAAAAAAAAATGTATTTGCTGAATGAATGTCATTAAGTATACCATAAAATATTTCATGGCAATGAAAAAATACTAGCTGCATATTGTTAAAGAGCAACATTAAAGAAATGTATACTATTTTATAGTTAATGACTATAGGCACCTGTGTTCATAAATAGATTACATACGTATAGAGTATCTATTTTAATATAGTATTAACAGTTTTCTCTAGGTTTGGTGGATTAGAGGTGCCAGGATTACTAAATTCCTATTGAGTTTAATCAAATATTTTCATACCTAGTAGTACTAGAGGGCTCAGTGGGTGGAAACCCAAATGCATTGACATGAAACACTTGATCTTCAAACCAACCTGAAAAAAAAAAATTATAAATCACTTTCCTTTATCTAATCCTCCTTTTTTCTTGACAGGACATATCTATGAAACAATGCTAGGTTATAGTCTTATCCCCTGTACAGTAACTGTGGAAGTGACCAGTTACATAATAACTTCAGATCCTTAGATAGTCTCAACTCTAAAGTTCATGAAAATATAAATAATACATTCAGAAATTAACTTCTCATCTTTTTATTTCATATATTTGTCTGTTGAAAGATAGGGTACATTGAATAGGTAATGGTTTATGGTGTGAATGAACCTAAATAAATCTAGAAGGTTTTGAATAGCAACCTTATTGATCTATCATTCACATATACTATCAATGCCACAATTCATCCCTTAAAAGTATAGTTTAGCAAATTTTTTAATATATTACATGAGCCCTAGGAGAACAATGGTTAAAGCACATGCTTCTAACCAAAAGATGGGCAGTTTGAACCCATCGGCCGCTCCGTGGGAGGAAGATGTGGCAGAGTCTCCTGTGGAGACTGAACTGTCCTGTAGGGTAGTTGCTCTCTCATGTATGGTCACTGTCAATATACTGACACTACTACCTACTTTCAGAACATTTTATCACCCCCCAAAGAAAGTCCATGCCTAATGGCAGTCTAAGAGTTTATTATAAAAATTAGGCTCTCATAATCAATGTTCTCCCAAATCATATCACATTAACACATTTTAGCCACTCTACAAATTGTTTCACTGCAGAATGAGGAGGCGGAGGAGGAAAGGGAGAGTACCCTGACTTACCTTCTGCTAAGACAAAGCATGCCTCTGTATATAATCCATTATGGAACTGGTATCAACAGTTGAGGAAGATGATTTTATGCTTGAGCTATTTACTTTGAATCCCAAAGGACTGCCAACTATTAAAAGATTTAGCATTTGCAATTCTGAACAGACTTTAGCTTAAAAATTATACGTGTAAATGCTTCGGTGTTAATTCAAAGATATAGGCTGCTTATATTGACCTATGAGAATATTCTTAGCATGCTAGAATTTTCTCAATGGTTTGGCTGTATTCTCACAATATGGAGGAATTAAAGTTCTTGAATCTCTTTAGGATTGTGTCCTTCATATGTCCTTTATATAGGAAATTCTTGGAAACTCCAAAAGGTAAATCTGAGTATGATTGAAAATAAATTTCCTCAATTTATTTAAAATAGGCTTAAAAAATTTTTTTAGAAAAGTAAAGGATATAGCTTTACTAAGATCCAGTTGTACCGTTCCAGTAGGATCTTCCAGAAAAAATTTTCCCTAAACATAATTAAAAGAAAAATGTCATTCATAAAAAACAAATACTATGATAAAATAATTGAAATGCTGACAATTTTGACACAGAACATAATGAAGTGAGCAGTAGATTAAAAAATAAGTTAGGCTTCCTAGTTCAGGCTTTTCCACTCTGGCAATCTCAAGCTAAACACATTCTGGAAATTCACTCTTCTTAAGTATTTTGGGGAGTGGTTTTTGGAGATAAAGAGATGTTAGGAGGCATTCTAGCCAGCTGTCACCAGGCAGTTCTTACCAGTTACCTTTACCTAAAAGTCAACAGTCTCCAAGAGACCAAGATTAAGATCTGTTTGCTCAGAAACCTTGTACTCTCAGTTCAGAGGGCAGTGAGGAACTATCACCTGATAAGAGACTTCTTGATTTTATGTGGGAAACCCAACACATATGAAAGAGTTATTTGGGATCCAGGGAGAAATCTAAAATGAAAAAATACATTCCTGGATACACTGTAGAAATGCTTGATGTAACTGCTATTTCATCCATTTGAATGGTGGTAAAATAAGTTGGATGCTTATTAACTTTAACTTACCTCTTTTAACTGCGTTATCATCCCAAGAACAATCACATCTCCAATTTTGGTTGTACTACCCAGTAAGGTTTCTATTGTCTTAAGCTAAAATAAAAATAAGTTTTCAAAGATTAAAAATATATTTTTTCATGAAGCCAACATTTTTGTAAATAAACTTTGGTGGACATTTTGGTATTTCCTGTTATTTTACAGTCGGAAATCAACCCTCAAACTCTGTCCGGTTGGTTCCCACTCACAGCAACCCTGTCAAACCGCTGCTGTGCGTTTCTGAAACGTCCCTCTCCACAGGAGTGGAACTCCGCGTCCTGCTCCTGCGGAGTGCTGGTGCTTTCCCACTGACGACCTTGTCGTCAGCCAGGCTCCAAGGAAGTCTTCGAAATTTAATTTTATCCTATAAGATTATCAAATGTGGCAACATCTGATTTTAAGAAAAGTTTGTATGCCTACTCTAGTATTTCTTTTGTCTACCTGTATTATTTCAGAGCCAAGTGAATTGCAAGCAGTCTAGAAAACTACTAAAATAAAGGAGCTAAATGGGAAAATAAATAAATAAATAAATAAATAAAGAAGAATATCAAATGTATGATGGCCCAGAAGTATTATGCCTTAAAAAAACCACCATATTTAGTGTGTTTAGTAACTAAGGACAGATTTTATACCATTAATTCTGAATAAATATCTTAGGAAAGTACATTTATTTTTAAATAGAGACAGTTATCAGTTTATTTCTTTTATTTGTCCAGAAAGAAATAGGAGCTTCTCTGCGAGGTTTGAAGGGTCTAAGACTAGTCATGGGATTCATCAACACTGCACAAGCAGCCAGCCAGGTCGTTAGCTAGTTAAATCGTAATCAGAGATTCATTTTAACTTAGACTTCAATAAATCAGAATCAACAAATGTTAAATAGGCACACAGACCTCTATTCCACCCCCCCCACCACCCCCATCACCAAAGAGCTAGGCTAATACTCTAACCTGGAATTTGCTTCCACTCTCTTCAGGGTTAGACCCTATCACTGGAGGAGTAAATAACTCATGTCTGTGGGTTCTCTATAATAAAGAAAGATTCACATGAATAATGACAGAGACATTAAATCCTACTGAAATAAATTAATTAAATTAGTAGCCGGATGAAACACTGTCGTTAAACTACTGGTACTCATATATTTTCAATAAATTTGAAGACCCATATAATTTAACAACATCTCACACACGGCTATCAAGTTGATGGTGACTCACAGCGTCCCTAGAGAACAGGGTAGAGCTGCCCCTGTGAGTGTCCAAGATTAACTGTTCAAGGAAGTATAAAGCCCTGTCTTTTGCCCGCAGAGCAACAGGTGGTTTAAAAATGCTGACCTGGAGGCTAGGACACCAACTAGCAAGCTCTGCAACGACAGGGCTCCTCCTCATTTCACAACAAAAATACCGTGAAATATAGTCGGAATTTTTTAATTAAAAATGAACTCAATGAGTGCCTGGCAACTAAAGCATGAAGACCAAGTTCTCACCCTCAGAGCACCAGGGTTAAGGAGAGAGAAACATCAACAAGACAATACAACCAAGTACTGTGAGGGCTGACTGTGCCCTTGGTGTAAGGAGCTACTTAACTAGATCCTGAGTGATTAATAAGACTTTTCTAGTCAGAAACAAAGAGCCATAGTGTTATAGCGGGCTACTCATTGAGCTGCTAACCACAAGTCAGCAGTTCAAACCCACCAGCCACTCAACAGGAGAAAGATGAGGCTGTCTGCTCCCATAAAGACTTAATGTTTCAGAAACCAGAGGGGAAGTTCTACTCTGTCCTACAGGGCCACTATGAGCCAAAATCAATTCAATAGCACGGAGGTTATATCAGAAACTAAAGGAGTCTTGGTCCTGCTCTGTTTACAGAGGGTAGGAAAGCCAATGTCGGGTCCCTGTGCATCAGAATTGACTCCATAGCAGTGCGTTTCTTGAGTCAGTCATAAACAAAAAGAGGCGGAAATACGACATTTCCAGCAGAGT